GGCTATTTTGTTGTTGTTGTTGTTGTTGCAGCCGTCATTGTTGTTTAGCTGGTTTGGGCCAGGTTCGAACCCACCAGCCTTGGTGTATGTGGCCGGCGCCCTATCCACTAAGCTACGGGCACTGCCCTGTAAATAAGTTTCAATGAAGTCAAAAGTTGAAGTCATTAGATTGTCATGTGGGAGATTCAGAAAGAAAACTACTTAGTATGCAGTTGTGAATTCCTCTTCCATCTTCCATATATATATATATGGGTGTGTGTGTGTGTCTGTGTGTGTATGTCTATAATTGGATTTATAAAGCCAAAAATCCAGGTGTAGATCTAATAAAGACACAGTTAAATCTTTTGCTATTATTTGCGCTGCCCACACCACGTCAGTAGTTTAATGGGTCTTGATCAAAATTTAAAGGTTTTTTATGCACCTGTTACTCCAACTATTATAGACTGATGTGGCCCCACTGGGTCTTCCTTGGACACGAGCCAGCCATCTATAGGAACTTAATGTAAACATTAATATATTCTATTATCTGCAGAAGAATCTCTTCCAATGAATGCTCCAGAGAGCTCTGCAAATTTGGGGTTAAGTTTCTCTCAACTTTCTTGCAATATGCCATCAGCAAAGTGGACACAGGTGGGAATCGCGGCTCAGACAAATGACCACAGCAGATCAGTCTCTCCTTCCAACTCCACAGACCCCCTGGAGCCAGAGCCCTCTCCCAACCAGAGTGCTCACAGGACTTGCCCTTACCTCCTCAGCTTCCACAAAGACAGGAGAAGGAGCCACATTGTCAGCAGAGAGACCAGGCTACAAATTAATATAAATCTGGGCAATTTGGGTTGGACACCCTTTTGCTCCTCTGGGCATGAATCTGAAATTAAATGATGCTGTTAAGTTTTCAGTGTGATATTAGATCTCACTCCTTCTCACCCACCCCCATTCTTTTCTTTTATGAATATTGATGTCAGTGAATTATGACCACTATGAGACACATCCTGGAATGAGGGAGGGTGTCTCAGGATGGAAACACACCTCTCAGCTGCTCCCAGGACATCAGTCTGCGTCAACACACTACCCCTGGGAGCCTGGGGTTGCCACAGGTCTTTAGGGAAGATGGGATTGGTTTTTGCCTATTGGTGGGTGTGTACATTGGATTTCATGTCCCCCAAAAAAGATATGTTGAAGTTCTGATATCTGAAACCTTTAATGGAAACTTATTTGGAAACAGAGTCCCTGCAGGCATAATTAGTGAAGGATCCCAAGATGAGACTGTCTTGGGTCCTAAACCCAGTGACAGGTGTACTCCTAAGAAACAGCAGAGGAGACACAGACACAGAGGAGAAGCCACGTGGAGACGGAGGCAGAGACTGGAGTGATGTGGACACAAGCTCAGGGATGCCTGGAGTCCCCAGGAGTTGGGAGAGGCAGGAAGGAGCCTTCCTTGGGGCTGTGGAGGGAGCAGCCCTGAGACATCTGCACCTCAGACCTCTGGGCTCCAGGACCAGGAGAAGGTGAATTCCAATGATTTCAAGTCACCTGAGTATTTGTATTTTATCCCAGCAGCTCCAGGAAACCCGCAGAATGGCTAAGAGAGATGCTAGAACCTGTATTCCCTAAGTTCTTCTGGCCCAGTGCCGGCTAGGAATATTTCTTATCCTCAGTGAAAGGTTCCTACCCAGTCATCTTAGCCTTGGGTAGCCCCCATCCTTAGGAGGGAGGACCCACCACAGGGCCCAGCCCGGGGCTGGCATCCATGCTCACCTTCCTTTAAACAAAGACTCTGAGGGTCGGGCTGTTCTGCTGCCCACCTGCAATTGGGGGCTTCTGAATGGCTCCCCCTGCTGAAAATGTCTGCTTAGAGCTTCTGGGCTCCCCTCCCAGCTCCTGAGATGTCCCAGCCCTGGGCGAGGCCTGTGGGTACCACCACCCTGGTGTGGGTGGGAGCTACTCTTTCCTCTACCGCCTGCATTTTGGAAATTCCGTGTGTGTGTGTGTGTGTGTGTGTGTT